TTTGACTTTTTTATTTTAGGCATGTGTTTTTTTTTTTTTTTTTTTTTTTGGTCATTTGGTGTTTTTTTTGTTTTGTTTTGTTTTTGTCTCTTTGGAATGAATACGTGAAGGGAGAGGGCATATTAGGAAGGCAGTTTATTTAATAATGAAGTAAAGGGGACATGTGTACATGTGTGTATTTGGTTAATACTATATTGATGTTAAAGTGAGAACACACATATATGTGTATAGGTGTGAGAGTGTGTGTGTATGTCTTACATATTAATAGGAGTCCTTAGGTGTTTCTTATTTCTCTCACATTCTGTCAGGTAGGTGAGGGGAGCTGGCTTTTTTGGTCTTTGTTTTGGCTTTTTTAGTGTAACTCCTTTTGGTAAGTTTTTATGGCAATTGTGTTGTCTGGTGCCTCTCTCAAGTCTAGCTTTTTTTCTCTCCATTGTCTTTTTCTTTTTTGTTTTGGTACCAGGGATTGAACTCAAGACCTTGCATTTGTGAGGCAGGTGGTGGAACCACTGAGCGAAATCCCCAGCCCTGTCTTTTTAATTGTTATAACTGCAGTCTATCTGTGAAGACAGAAACTCTTTTTAGTAAGCTTTTTTATGGATCTTAATAAAGCTCAACAGGGCCTTTATCTTACTTTTTTTTTTTAACCTATAGGCCCTTTGTGTATATAAAACAAAATCCAAAACCCCCATATACTAGAAGCAGGCAAGTTATTATTCTTATGTCTATTTTGTATATGAATAAAATGATGACAAACTTAAGCAATTTATGCAAAGTTTCTAGACTAGTATATAATGGAACCAGAATTCAAATCTGGTCTTTGGAGTTTTTGTTCAGTTTTGTTTTGTTTTTTGCCACCCTGGGGAATCCATCCCAGGGTCTTTCACATACTAGGCAAGCAAGCCCTCTACCGCTGGGCTTTTGATTCTTTTGGAAGTTCATCCATGCCAAATTTCAGGCTTTTCAGAGTATAGCTGATTCAGCAGTTTGTCCCCATATCATATCACTTTACCCCATATCCCTGGCTTAACCCTACCCATATTAAAGCTGTGTGTGCAATAAATTTGTTGTTGAGTGCTTATTTTGTATCAGGTACTCTATCTCTACTCCCTTACGACAACGCAGATGAAGACACAGAGGCTCACAAAAGTTAAGCACAGTAAATGGTAGAGCCAGGGCTCAAATCCAACTTTTCTTGTCATAATACATTGCCTTTCTCTTTCTCTTTTGTGTATTCCTTAACATTTATTGAATACTTACAAGGTACCAGGCATTACTCTAATTTCTTCACACAGATTATCTCATTTATTCTCACAAGAATTTATACCATTAGTCTTTATTTTACCTAGTCTAAAAATGGACATGGGCTGGGGATTTGGCTCAGTGGTTCCGCCACCTGCTTCAAAAGTGCAAGGGCCTGAGTTCGATCTCTGGTACAACAAAATAAATTTTAAAAAATGGACAACAGATCCGAATAGACCTTGAACACAAAACTTTTTCACAGACCTACTTCCTCAGCACCCCGCTTCTTTTCATATTTGAGATAGGGCCACCTAAGTTGCTAAATTGTCCAGGCTGGGCTCATCTTCCTCCCTGCATCTCCCAGAGTGCTAGGATCACATGTGAGATCCATTACAATTTGCTTGAGCTTTCTTAAAGAGTCCATGGGAAGACAAGGCACAGAGAACCATCCTACCAAAGTGCTCGTGGCTAGGAAATAGAAAGGTCAGGATTCGAACAAGGCTGTTTAACCTCAGAACCTATACCTTTAAGCACTGCATTATAGACCTGTCACTCCCACCCAGGTCCATTTCACCACCATTGGTCTGACAGAGCCACTGAGCAAGAGAATAGTGATGGCAGGTGAGATAATACTGGCTGACTGGGACTGGCATTTTTGATCTCTAGTTTTTAAGGCTGATTATTTTCCAATTAGGTCTTACTTTCAGGGACATAGGGAATCTTGAAAAGTTGATCCATGCATACTTATAATATCAGCACTTGCAAGGATCAGGCATTCTAGGCCAGCCTGCACTACATAGTGAGACTGTCTCAAAACAAAACAAAGCAGCAGCAACAACAACAAAAAAACGCAGTAAGGTCATTTTATAAAAGTTCAGAGTAGAATAGATGTTACCAGAGGCTGGGGAAAATAGAGGGTCAAGAAGAGAGGGAAAAAGATTAGTCAATGATTCTAAGTTACAGTTAGATAGCAGAAATGAGCTCTAGTGTTCTAGGGTGACTATAAATAAAAATAATGTACTGTTTTGTTTTGTTTTTCAAAAGCTAGAAGAAAAAGCTGGGCATGGGGGCCACACCTGTGATCCCAGCATTTCAGAGGCTGAGGCAAGTGAATCACTTTGAATTCAAGGCCAGCCTGGACTACACAGTGAGTACAAGTACAATTTTTTTAAAAAATGAGCATAGTGCACATGTATAATCCCAGTTGCTCAGGAGGTTGGTGCAGGAGGATTGTGAGTTTGAGGCCAGCCTGAGCAAGTCAGCCAGAGACTGTCTCAAAAAAACAAAAAAATGCTAGTCATAGTGGCACATATCTGTTATCTCACTACTTGGGAGACTGAGGCAGGAGGATCATCTGGAAACCAGCCTGGGTATACAGTGAGTTTAAGGCCAGCCTGGACTACATAGTGAGCCCCTGTCTCAAAACAACAAAGCAAAAAAAGAGGACAAGGGTTAGGAATGTGGCTCAATAGCTCAGCGGTAGAGCACCCACCTTGCATGTATCGCTTATTCAATCCCAAGTATAAAAACAATTAAAATATGATAAAATTGACACACAAAATCAGAGTAAGCATAATTATCATGTTAAACATTTATCATTTCTTTGTGGAAAAACATTCAAACTCTTTTCTTCTAGTTTTTTTTTTTTTTTTTTTTTTTAGAAGTTTTTTTTTTTTGTTTTTTTTTTTTTTTTTTTTTTTTTGAGACAGGGTCTCCCTGTGTAGTTCAGGCTGGCCTCCAACTGGCAGTAATCTGCCTGCCTCAGCCTCCCAAGTGCTAGGGTTACAGGTGTGTGCCACCATGCTTCTAACTTTCTTTTTAAAGTTACTTTCCCTGTCTTCTTCTGGCATGTTTTCAGTGTCGAATTTCTATTACTTTAAATTTCCTTACCCCTGATTTTGAAAATCATCTATAGTTCAAAAATATTTGTTCATTACCTCTTCATTCATTCATTCATTCCCTGACTCAGTCACCCAATGAACATTTTTTCTACTTTCAAAGATTTTAACACACTTCACATTAGTCTCTGTGGTTCACTTCAGCCCCTATGCTGCCCATACCAGGGGCAGGAACAGCTTCAGTTTCTCTGCCTTCTCCTTAGCTGTGATAACCAAGAGGTACGGACACCTGCTCTGTAGAATTTTAAATTTTACATTACCTTTGTTCTTTATTTTGACAGATTTGGCATCCTTCCATCTAGCTGTGAGCAGAAAATCCTTGCTTCCTTCAATTTTTTGAGGCATGGGGAGGAGCTGTGCACGGACTGGTACCGCCAGAGAGACACAGCCCAGTGAGCCCTTTAAAAGCACCTAATCTATGCAAGGCACTGAGGCTAGAGTTTAAAAATTAAATAGACACATTCTGTCTTAAAGAAGCTCAGAATCTTTAGCAAATAAAAATACAGATCACAGAGTTATCTTTGAATCTCAGAAAAACTAAGAATAATTTGTTAGTATAAGTATGTCCCATGCAATGGACACTTTGACAGGGAAGAACTGTAATATAAAAGAACTTAAAAAAATGCTTGGAATATTCCCTGGAGAGGGTGTCTAAATTCTAATTCGACTGATATGGGGAAATTGCAGGCCCAGCGATATTTGCCCTAAAGGGAAAAACCTGTTCCAATTTGGAGACCAATTCATCAGTCGGCTCTGTCACCTTCGACCGCTAGAGGGCGCAATAGACGCGTGTACTGAAACCATAGACAGATGACTTCGCCGCCCAGAGTGCCCGGAGAAGTTTTACCCCGGCCGCCTTGTGTTTCCTGCACCTAGAGAGCCTGCGCTGGAAGAAGCGTAACGAGCGGCTGAATAGAGATCTCACGATGATAAAACCAAGTCTCGCGATTCTTTTTTCTTTCTCTTATTTATTTATTTATTTTTTGCCTAGCGACTGACAACTGGCGAGTTGCCCCAAGTCGGATCCCTGAAGTGGCCTGGCCTGAGACTGGAGAGGGACCCCAGTCCTAGGCTGGGGTTCTTTCTATTTAGCGGAGACGGATTCAGAGGGGCTCCAGGTAATTCCTACTCACCCCGCAGAAAAGGAACTCCGCTCTCCAAGAGGACCCTCTTGCCCTGCTCTCAGAGGCCTCTTCCCATCTGCATAACAGCTCTTCTCTCCTTCCCCCTCCCACCACCACATTCCTACTTCCTTTACTCCCCAAGCAACTTAAGTGGAATCCGAGCAGCAAAACGAGTAGAAATAGGTGATACTTTTAGTATTAATGGGTGAGACTCAGAGAGGGGCTGAGGTTTATCCTGTCTTTGGCACCGCTCCCCCCCCCCGAACTATTATTAAATTTTTAGTAGCAAACTTTGAGAAAATTGACCTAACCTGAAGAGAAAGGCACCATCTTCATAGGAAGACAGCTTTGGGGGAGCTGTGGAGAAGTTGACTGTTGTTTCCACAACAGCCCAGCCCAGCCAGCCTGCCAGCAGTTTCTCAAAAAAAACTGAAGCATAATGGTTTAACTGCTGGACTCGGCGCTAAGAAGCCTTGAGGAAAGTTTGGATGGGGATAAAGGTTTTATGGAAAACTGGTGTCTTAGGTGAGGAAGAGGAACCCATGCTTCCAGCAGAGTGTTTAATGTTATGTCCCGTGGTAAAAGCTAAGTAATCACCTCCTTTTGCTAGACCAAGATTGTTGAGAACCAGACATATGATGAGCAGCTAGAGATTAACGACTCTGAAGAGATTGCAAGTATTTGTACTCCAACCCCAGGACACCAAGGTAAGAGAATGAAAAGGAAAGAAATGGCCCCCAAACAACAAGCAGGATGCATTCGTGTTTGGCTTCAACAGGGTCAGAGTTTATAATAGCAAATGTTGACTTTCAGAGTCCTTACTTCACGTGTCATTGTTTCTGCTCTGTTTAAGGAAGGAGGGAGAAAACACATCTTGCCAGATTGCAGGATCTTCCTTCAACCCAACAATGTTACTTACCTTTTCATGTTACTGCTCTGCTCACAGTCTGCAAGGGGTTCCTGGGTTTTTTGCTTTTTGTTCTTTCTTTGTGATGCTGTGATGTCTTTGTTCCTGCATGAAAGGCAAGCCCTCTTCCACTGAGCCACACTGCTAGTCCCTGTTTTTTGTTTGTGTGTGTGTGTGTGTGTGTGTGTGTGTGTGTGTGTGTGTGTAGTGTGTGTGTATGTTGTTTGTAGTACTGGAAATTGAACCCAGTGCCTTCCAACTGAGCTACCTGACCCGGGCTCAAACTTGCCATCCTCCTGCCTCAACCTCCCAGAGTGCTAGGATTGCTAGCATGTGTAGAGTGGGTTGAAAGGTACACAAGAGAAAGCGGGGAAATACTGGGGGTGGCTCAGTAGAGATGATGGTGGTTTGGACTGTGGCAAGGAAATACAGAATAGAGACTAGAGGGAAATGCAAGATAGATCAATGTGATAGAATCATGGGGCTGGGGATGTAGCTCAGTGGCGTGAGAGATAATCCTGAGCCCAGGTAGAAGGAGGTATAATGAAACTCAGAGGCTAAGTCATTTTTTCTAAGTGATAGAATTTCCTCTGGGCTTCTCACTATTGATCCAGCATTCTTTTCACTTTACTAGTTACTAGCTTTTTTTTTTTTTTTTTTTTACCAAGGGGTAAACTAAGGACAGAGTTTATATTATTTATGTACTAGCATATAGTCAATCATATAATTTCTAATCCAATGCTTAAAGTACAGTAATGCTTAATAATTGTATCTTGAATTGAGTTGACAAAACTATAACTAAAATTCGGTTTCTTATTCTCTACTTCGATGTTCTTTCTTTTCTTTCTGTACCAGGGATCAAACTTGGGTCCTTGTGCTTACGAGGCAGATGGCAGAACCACAGAGCTAAATCCCTGGCCCCTTTAATTTGATGTTCTTATGAACCCTGTTTTGTAAAATGGTTAAAGTAAAGCCAGGTGTGGTGGCTCACACGTGTAATTCCAGCACTCAGGAGACTGAGGCAGGAGGATCACTGTGAGTTTGAGACCAGCCTGGGCTACATAGTTCCAGGTCAGTCTCAACTTGAGACCCTGTCTCAAGAAAAAAAAAAAAAGAAAAGAAAAGAAAAGAAAAGGAAAGAAAAAAGTAGGCTGTGCATTGTGGTGCACGCCTATAATCCCAGCACTTGGAGGCCGAGGCAGGAAGATTGCCACAAGTTTGAGGCCAGCTTCGACTACATAGTAAGCTCAAGGACAGCCTGAACTACAAAGTGAGACCTTATCTTAAAAAAACAAAACAAAAAGATTAAAGCACAATGTATTATAAACTAAATATGTTTGTCTTAATTAAAAATCATTTAAACAGTAACCTAAAGGCAAAACTTTTCTTCTAAGGACTTCCTCATTCTGCCCGTCTTCCTACCAAGACTATGGCTGATAACTGCATTGATGAGTTCGAGGAGGAAAATAACAAGGTGCAGTATAACCCACAACTTCTCATAGAATCTTTTAGACAACACCAGCTCAGCAGGAAACATTTCCTGAACACTTACTGTCAGGGCTTGGGTTCATTTGAATTCATAGAGGAAAAGTAGGAGCGAGGCACCTTGAGATTTTGAAACATTTCAGAAATAAAGCATCCAGCCTCCTACCCCCAGCCCAACCTGGTACTGGGCATCAAACCCAGGGCTTTATATATGCTTGGCAAGCACTGTGCCCGTGCTCTACATCCCTAACCCAAGCCTACTCTCAGAAATGACTTTTTAGTGAGAAACTTCATAGAAAGTAGGCCAGTGTCTTCACATACTTTACTAACCATAAGAATCAACTGGAGGGCTGGGGATTTAGCTCAGTGGCACCACGCCTGCCTCACAAGTCTTGAGTTTGATCCCTGGTACCCCCCCCAAAAGAATCAACCATAATACTCTTTTTGGTGTTGGAGATCGAACTGGGGACCTCATGCATACAAACAAGTGCTTACCACTACTCTCTCCCCAGCCATTTGAATATTTATTTTTAGAAATATAGAGTCCCAGTCCCCACCTGGAATCTCAAATGTAAAAGCCTGAGAATTTATATTTTTAGTAAGCGTTCCTTGTGATTCTTAGTCAGAATGATTGGCCTAGGCATTGTTTTCATTGTCAAATTTATGATACTGACAGTATTTTGTGAAAGAAATTTTAATTTTCAGGTCTTAAGATATAGATAAATGTCTTTTTGCTAGTCTGTGAACGCAGAGAATTACCCCGTTTCTGAAAGATGGAAAGATGCCTACTTCTCTAGCTACGTAGGAGATGTACATGTGCTCTTAATGGCCATTTGTTTTTAGCCTCAGCAGATGACCCACTGGTTACATTTTTCCTTTAAGAACAAGAGCTTTGAGCAGGATGTGATGGTGTACTCCCATAACCCCAGAATTTTGGAAAACAGGCAGTAGGATCACAAGTTTGAGGCTAGCTTAGGTAACTTAGTGACTTAGCAAGACCCTGTTTCAAAAATTTAAAAAAGGCTGGATTGTAGGTCAGTGTAAAGATCCTAAATTCAATTCTTAGTATAAAACAAAGAAACAAATGATTTTTTTGGTGGGGGTGGCTAAGATAGGGTGTCACTATGTAGGCTGGCCTCGAACTTGTGATCCTCCTGCCTCAGCATCCCAAGTGCTGGGATTACAGGTATGTGCCACCATGCCTGGCTAAAAGAACCAAGGTGCTAATAGCTACTGTACCATAAAGGAAACAGCTTAAAAACCTGAAACCAATATAATCCACATAGCATATGGAAATCAAGCTTTTGTTTCTTTCTTTCTTTTTTATTTTATTATTTATTTATTTATTTATTTTTTGATTTTTCAAAACAGGGTCTCACTATGTAGTTGAGACTGACCTGGAACTCACTATGTAGCTCAGGCTGGTCTCAAACTCACAGTGATCCTCCTGCCTCAGCCTCCCGAGTGCTCGGATTACAGGCGTGCGCCAACATGCCTGGCTTTTCTTTCTTTTTTAAACAGAGTCTCCCTATGTTCTATAGTTGGGGCTAGCCTTGAAGTCACTCTGTAGCCACAGCTCGCTTTGAACTCATAGTGATTCTCGTGCCTCAGCCTCCTGAGTGTGGGCATTTCAGGCATGCACCACCATACCCAGTTTAACTCAAGACTTTAAAACATTTTTTTGGTTTTTTTGGTACCAGGGAGCGAACTTGGGTCCTTGTGCTTGCAAGGCAGGTGGCAGAACCACTGAGCTAAATCCCCGGCCCTCTAAAACCTATTTTTAAAGGGGCCAACTTCCAAAGGGAGGACTTGCCCCAGACTCCAGACCACAGAGGGAAAGACATGGACCCTGTCTTACATACTATGCTCATAACCAGAATTATGGAATCAATTTTGTGACCAGAATCATGGAAAAATGAAGTTCATGAGCCAAGATACCACTGTATTTAGTTGCCATCCTCTTGAAGAGTCTCTGATTTTAGGGTTGAAGCTGTCTCAATCAAGTTTATGCAGAGCTCTCAGGATCTCCCAGCTAACAGGTACAGTAGGTATCAGTTGCACAGAATTTGATCCTTAGCCTCAGGTAGAGGAATGTGGCTCCAGAAAGTGAGGACCCATGTTGTACCTGAGCAGGAGCAGAAGAAAGCTCTTGGGCCTCTTCTAGGGAGTGTCACCTTCGCTTCCGGTGACCAGTGGCCAGGGCAAAGGGGGCGATGCTGGCTCAGGCCACACAGAGCCGGGCCCAGGAACATTACGGTTTCTATCTCTGAGCCTCTCTCTTCCTGCTGTGCCCTACATAGGAAAAGAAGAGGACCTCACAGTTGACACCTCAGCAGGGCTTCAGTGAGAACGATGACGATGATGATGATGATGACGACGACTCCTCTGAGACTGATTCCGACGAAGACGACGACGACGAAGAGCACGGAGCCCCTCTGGAAGGGTGAGGAAAGACCCTTGCTAAGTAGATGCCAGCCATGGCGACAAACAGCGCCTGAGTACTGGACCAGGAGGATATCAGTTAGGAGTGAAATTGTAGTACCACTGTCGATCTCTCTTCCATTAAGATTTTCACACATCTTTGAAATTCATCATAATCAGTATTTATTCCCATATGGCTCCCTTGCCTTACCCAGTCCAATAATGTCACTTAAAATAAAAAAATTAAAAATCAAGTGTCGTAGCACGTACGTGTAATCCCTGCACTCTGGGAGGCTGAGGCAGGAGGATCCTAAGTTTGAGCCCAGTCTGGGCATTTTAGTAAGACCCTGTCTCAAAATAAAAATAGTAAAAGGGCTGGGTATGTAGCTTAGGGCTGGGTTCAGTCTCCAGTACCACAAAAAGTAAATAAAAATTTGAAACATCTTAATTACAATATGTTTAATAATCAGTTGAACAATTTTCCTAAGTCTACCTTCAAATTTAGTACATCCTTGAGCCAGAGTGTGGTGGTGCTCAGGAGGCTGAGGCAGGAGGATCACCACAAGTTCAAAGCCAACCTGGGCTACATAGTGAGTTTAAGACCACCTTGAATGACATAGCAAGACCCTGTCTCAAAAACAAACGACAAAAAAGAAAAAACTAACAAAAAAATTTAATACATCCACCCTAAATTGGGCTCAGGGATTACATGAGGTTGTGCTGAGTAAACCTGAAAGATGGTTACCCGCTTTGTGCTCAGTCTGGGAAAGAGGAAATACATTTGCAAACATAGCAAAGTGTTTGTACATACCAAAGAAACTATGCACACACAAGAATTTCCATTTTAGGCTTGGGGTCGTTCCCCGGAGGTCCTCCTAACACAGGCTGACCTGTGACTCTGCCACTCTGCTCTACCTGGGTCACCGTGTGGAACGAATCATGTTTTCCTTTCACCAGGGCCTATGATCCTGCAGATTATGAGCATTTGCCAGTGTCCGCTGAGATTAAGGAACTCTTCCAATACATCAGTAGGTGAGAACTAGGACCCCCCAACCCTATCCCACTGTCCCTTCCTTGCCCCAAACCTTTCTCTGTCTGGTCTGAAACCAGGCCAGTCTCCTTTGACCTATTTTAGCTTGACTGGAGAAGTAACTTTCTCTCCCTCTTCCACTTCCTGGTCATTATCTTTAGGTACACACCCCAGTTGATTGACCTGGACCACAAGTTGAAACCATTCATTCCCGATTTTATCCCAGCTGTTGGGGATATCGATGCATTCTTAAAGGTATAGTCGGTGTATCCTAAAAAGGACTCCTGAGATGAGTGGTGGGGGACCTATGGCATGCATGCTGCAGCAGGGCCCTCTGTCAGCATGCAGGCCAAGTCACCCCAGCAGCCAAGCATCACATAACAATTTTTTTTTTAAACTAAAACCCCAGTGTGCAGGTTTAATTAACATTACTTACACTTTTCAATAAATAAGTGGGTTTGGGGTTACAATTTGGGCACTGGGTTTCTAAAAGGTTCACCATCACTGCCTTTGATGTTTGTTCTGACCCCTCTATTCTAACAGTTCTGCTAAATTTCTTTGACTACCATTGCTATTTTAATAGTATTTATTTCATTTGAGTTGGGTTTTTTTTTCTTTTCATTAAGTTTATTGGTACTTTTTAGGTATACATTAAAGTTACATTCATCATTGGGATCTTGTACCTTTACATGATGTATCTTGGTTCTTATTTTTCCCCATTACCTTGCCTTCCCTTCACCCCCTCCGCCCTTCCCTATTTACAAAGATCATTTGAGTTTTTAACCTTGTTCTCTCCTCCAAATTATACTCATTGTTGTTAGAATTTTAGCTCATTATATAATAAAAGATTATCACATATTTGCCTCCTAATTATCCATGAATTCAGCCTTGTAGTTAAGTTTCCATAGATCAGATATTGTTTTCTTAGATAGCGTTTAGTACAATATCATGAACAAGCATGCTTTTTAATACCAGAAATAAAGATGAACCAGAAGGCTTTTTCCTTTTCACCTTTTTGGAAACAGCAGATGTGGCCTTATTATCACCCTCACATTTTCCTGCTTTCTTACTTTTTTCTTTTCAGGTCCCACGTCCTGATGGAAAGCCTGACAACCTTGGCCTGTTGGTACTGGATGAACCTTCTACCAAGCAGTCAGACCCAACAGTGCTGTCTCTCTGGTTGACAGAGAATTCCAAGCAGCACAATATCACAGTAAGAGCCTGGCCTCCTACCACCATGGCCCAGCTGGAGGGGATGGGTAGGAGCAGAGGCCTTGCTGGGTTCATACAGCTGACTTGCCTATCAAAGGTGTAGGTGTTGCTTCAGGCCAGCTCTATTCTTTGACAGTAGCTTTATTGAGATATGATTGCATACCTTAAAATTTACCCCTTTAGATTTATGGAGTTGAGTATACTAAAACTCAATGAATTATGCAATTGATCACTGTCTAATTTAAAAATTTTCATTGCTCCAGAAAGAAACCCTGTACCCATTCCCTCCACTCTTAAAGTCTGGTGGTAACCACTTTTTATGGTGAATATTATTCCATTGTGTGGATATACCACAATTCATTCACCAGGTGTTTCCACTTTTATTAATAATGTCATGAACGTTCATATACATGTTTTTGTATGGGCATATATTATTATTTCTCTCAGATTTAGAGGTAGGACTGGAATTGTAGGGCTACCTAGCAACTCTCTGTTTAACATTTTGAGAAACCGATGAAATGCTTTCAAAAGTAGCACCATTTACAGTTCATCAGCAATAAGAATTTCACTATCTTCACACCGACACTTGTTGTGTTTTTAATTCTAGCCATCCTAGCAGGTGTTTTTTAGATAGTCATTCCTGTTCTATTGACCTGCATCCTTCTCCAATAAATTTTAGCAGGGCTTCTATATTAGGCATCTTTCCATCACTATAACAAATAATTGAGATAATCAACTTATAAAGAAAAAAGGTTTATTTTTGGCTCACAATTTTAGAGGTTTCAGTCCATTATTTAAACCACCCCCCCCACCTTGCGCAGGCGCAGCACCACTGAGCTAAATCCCATGCCCTCGGTCCATTATTGATTAGCTCCATTGTTTTAGGCCTTTGCAAGGCAGCACATCATGGCAGAAACACATGTTAGAGCAGAGCTGCCCACCTCATGGATAGGGAGAAAAGAAAGGAGCTAGGCATAGCGGCATAAGCCTGTAATCCCTGCACTCTGGAGACTGAGATAAGACGATCACAAATCCCAGTCTGGGTGATTGAAGGAGACTGTCTCAAAAAAACAAATTAAAGAATGAAGAGCTGGGGATATAGCATAGTGCAAAGGCCCAGGGTTCAATTCTCAGTACAAAAAAAATTTTTTTTACTGCTGTCAGCCAGCTCTCTCCATATATATATATATAT